CTCTCTCTCTCTCTTTCTCAACTATCTATTTCATTTCTTCCTCCCTTTTTTATTGGTCCATTTGCACGACAATTATTGATCTATACCATTGGTTTATACCATACGATCAACTTTTGATAAAACACGAGGATAAATAAGCATAAAGTAATCTTTGAATAAAAAAAATTTAAATGCAAATTCATATCTCTGGAAACATCACCGAGGAAATGGAGTATTATAAATAACAGAGTGCTTTGAATATTTTATAGAGCTATTTATTTTTTTTTAGACTTCACATTTTCTATGTACAATAAATTTATTTTTTGTACTTCAAATTTCGCAACCTATAATTAAAGGAAAACAGAAATTTGTAAATAGACTATAGAACGTTTACCAAAATATTTCATCTGTATAAAGTTTACTTCCTACAGTTAAAGGTACTCTACTAACAATAAGAATAAAATTTTCTCCCATCGGAAAACTTTTGCCAATATTTCACCCTACTTTTGCTTGTGTGCTTGTTAAATACATAAAAAAACTTGTAGATCTTTTAGTAAATATCTGACCTCTAAACAACTTACGTTCCAATTCTGGGCAAATATTTCCTTAAAATCGTCTAATTGTTATATGAACTATCTAATTTAATTGTCAAACCTCAATTTTGAATTTTTAACCTACTTTTTCAAAATTTCCTAAAAAAAATTCATTGTTCTCCATGGAAGGAAATCTTCGTTACTTCACACCTTGCTTTCTTAATTTGTCTTACTTATCATCCAATAAAGAGTAGATATATCGCTAAATTATTTTTTTCATACAGTCTGCCTTCGTTCTCTCCGTTTTCTACTTTACGCGCTGAAACCGAATAAAAGACAAAACGTTTTGTCGGTTTTCTTGGCAATGAGTTCAACAACTTGGCGAAGATTGAATAGCAGAAACGAACGGTTACTGGTGCCAAATTTTTCCAGCAGAAAAAGAAAGATAATCACAGTCGACAAAAGGGGAATCATTATTCGTAAATGCGTAAAGATACTTAATCATTTTCCCCCATGTGTTTTTCATGTTGTGAAAAATATTTTGCTACCATATTTTAATTTATTCTTTGCTTGAATTATTGTATTTTCATGCATCAGAAATTAATTATCTTACGTAACGAGTATCTAAATATCTTATCAAAATATTTGTAAAAGAAAAGTGTAAAATAAATATCCAATAAAAATAAGCGAGATAAAAATGTGTATGTCGTATTAATTTTTGAAACTAAGCGTATAAAGTTCATAAGAACTGGATTAAAGTACAGGCCTCTCCAAAATAAAGATAACGAAAATTACTTCGGAAAAGGAACAATGTTGCACTACTTGGCGAAAGTTTTATCATAACTATATTTTTGCGGAAAAGCGGATATAGAACGTTCGCATTCTACTTTAACGAAAATTTTTTCCCAAGAAAAAAATTAACCGTGCTTCCTATTTTAATATGAGAATAATTGATATTTCACAAAATAATCTATCTTTTATCTTCGTCTAAATATTTTTGTAAGAAAATGAAAAAAATTCTGTTTTGAAAATTATAGATTATTTTAATTTATTTAATAGACTTTTCTGTAATGGATAGCTAGAAATTTTCTATTGAAAATTTAGTACGGTTCATAATCTCTCATATGTGCGTCATATGAATGAAAATTGTGAATTAACTTAAAAATGTGAATTTTTGGCCTTAGAAGAAAATATATGTAGCAGATAAAATAGCAGACAATCTTATCGCTCTTTCGAATTTATTTTCAACCTGATTAAAATAATATTTTGTATGTAAAATGTACGGCAGGTATATTCTAGATAAAGAAACCAAACTATAATTACGTTCCACTTATAAATTATTAAATATTATTGTTTAATTTTTTCTGTTTTCCCAAACATGTTTGTCATTCATTATACTAATTCATTTTAAAGTAAAAAATTAAAAATTATTTGAAAAATTTCACAAGCAAAATAGTAACAACTATCAATGAAGTTTCAAAGAAGTTGATGGTTCAAGTAGTTTATAGAATGGCGCCACCTCACAATATCATTGACTTAGTCAATGATTATATACGAATAGATGTAACAGCCAATATACTTTTTATGTCAAACATCAGCGCCCTCTTATCATTTTGGCGTCACATTCTACCATATCGATTTAGGCATGTTTCACACCGCAGCATTACTAGTGACAGAAATTAAAACCAAATTATGACCATTGACTCTTAGTCAATAATGCGATATAAATTAGTTTCTTAACAGCAAAAGTTTAGTACTCTTAATAAAGTAACAAATATATTTAATGAAATAAACAATTGTCTATTACCAATAATTGTATGTATACAATATACCTTATTTGTGATATAAATTTATGTGATTAAATATTAATGATATCGCGATGTATATTAAAAATTAATTAAACGTATATTAAATATTAATGATATTACCATGAAAAAAATAGAATCTATTAAAACAAATTAAATATTACTGAATTTGTAGAAAATTGAATAAAAACATCAGCGTCTGTATTTCAAACTCCTATTCCTTATACTTTAACTGTAGAATTAGCTAATAATTATGAAAAATACTATTAATATAAGTAATAATTTGTGTAAAATAAAAATGATTGAAGTAAATATATAAAATATTATAAACATATAACTAATCCAACTTATATACATTGTAAAAAAATAATAAAAGAAAATTTGAAGAGTTATTTGGTTTTACTATAAGTTTAATAAATTAGTATATAAATGCAGGTCGATTAAACAAACCTAATAGAAATATATATATAAACGCTAATAGAATAACATTTCATATATCAATCGAAATACTATTTGTTACTACCAGAATGTTAGGCACCAAAATGTGGCCCTGTATCGCATATGACTCATCAAACTTCTAATTTACCTAAAAAGCAACATATTTTCCCTCTACTAGTGGAGGGCACATTCATGAGGCCCAAACTTTACACATGTGATATAAAAATTATAATCAATTGACAGGTCAGACAACTTGAAATCTTGTCATAAGAGGAAGAATTGCATCAATCTTCGAATATTTTATTTTTTTATTATAATACTCAGTATTTTACTATATTTAATATTTTTTAGTAATTTGTACAGAATTCAGATGAAATAAAGATATTTACCACCACATTGTATGGCTACAAATTTATAGATGACTTCCAGAGTACAATTTACTCACTGCCAGGAAATGGATTCTCTCTATTTTTTCTTAAAATAAACTGGATTTTTCTAGTCATATCCTCACAATAAATAGCTTTGCACTTTTCATAATTAATTCTTCTTCTTTTTTCGGTAGGTTTCTCATAGTATCTAGTACGTCTGTATTGCTCAAAAATACCTTCTTTTGACAGTACATTATTCAATAAACGGTTAGCTTTCTCTAAATTATTATTTTGAACCATAACTGTCCGACCAAGAAATTGAGCATGCCTGGCCATACCCATCTGAAAGAAATATTCAAAATCAATTTTATTATTTTTTATTTTATTATTTTATTATTTTTTATTAACATTTTATTCATTCATTATGTTTCATGCATTTTAGTTTTCTTATAATGAATTTAAAATATATTGCACATAATTTAAAAATACTTCGTAATTGAATAAAATAGATATTAAAAATAAAATAAATATAAATAAAAGAAAATAAATTTTATTAGAATACTCTTTTTAATATAATTTTTACTATATTTTGTTTCAATAATTTGATATTAAATGAAAATACATTTATAGGTTAGCAATGAATTAAAAGTTTTGAAAGTTATTGTTTAAATTTGTCATTAAAAGCAATTTACATATTAATTAGGTACAATATTTAATATGATACCTTGAATTTTGGTTAAATATATCCAGTTACTGGAAAAGATGTTAAATATTTGTAGAAATACGATCACTTGTTACACGAAATTCAACCTACGTACTCTGTTTCGATAAATCGACATACACGTTAGTCTCCAAGCGCGGTTTATTTGAATGTTCTACTCTTTACATTACAAGTATACTTTTAATAAAATTCTTTTATATTTTTATGATTTTCGTGTGCAACTGAAAGAAATATTTTCAATAATATATATTGATTACAATAAACTTTACTAAAATATATTATACTATACCAATTTAATGCTATTTAGTAATTTTTTACGTGCATGTAATCAATTCCTTCATTTTTATTTTCTCTTCAAGGTAAATCAATTAAAAGACGTATTAATAATATATATTTACAAATGTTATCATTCTTACTTGTTATAAAATATAATCCTTAATTCTTAACACGTGGATGCTCGCAATAAAATTGCATGTGACCCAAAAAAAGCATATTCAACATAGTAATAATGATAAAGTATAAAATTAAGCATGATAAAATCTGCATGTATAAGTTGTTGATAAGTACCATAAATTTATGTCCATCCATTTATTTGATTTAAAAAAGTATAAAGCCCGCGAAAAGCACAAAAAAGAACAATTAACAACATTATAATCTTAGTGTACATTAAGTAGTAATCTATATAATTACTTCTCGGTCTTTCAAATTATATCGAAATCCCCAGCGACATATACAAAGCCATATTGATAAGGATATTAAAAACAACACCACTGAAAACGGAGTAGCATATATGTGTATACGAAACATTTGATTCTCTAACCAATTTTACAAACCGCACTTAGATTTTCTTTACTTCCAACGTTTTCCATGAAGTTCTGCATTCTGTAACATTTAAGGCAACTCATATTATTAAATTCTTCAAAAGAAAGGACATGTAAATTTAAGAGAATATGTGTAATTCAAAAATATAAAATGTAACTTTTAGTTACTAATTACTGCGTTCTTCAGGATTTGCATAATACTTGCAAACTACAATTGTTGAAAATATTAAAAATCCGAATTTTTCAAAGATCTCTTAATTTTATTTATTACGCTCACCTTTCAATTCAATGGTGAAAATATTTGCTCATAAATTTTGGTTACGCGTGTCGCATATTTTTTCATCGATTTAATTAATTGTGTAGTAGTATATCTTGCCAGTAAATTCTTCTTTCCACGCATCAACTATGCATTATTTCACTTGATAATATTTCTTCTGAAAATATTCGTTTCGATATTAAATAACGAATGGACTAAATTTTTTTTAAAATTTCGACGTAGAATTTATAATATTGGACAATTAATGCCTACATATATATATCTACCTTGTCATTTGTAAATCTCAATTGACGCGATTAAACCTGGTCGTTATCCATTGAACGCGAAAAGTCGAAACGGAACTGTCACAGATGAAAAATAAATATTATATAACAAAGTATTGCTACGTTCAGAATGTTTTACATTGAATAATTTCAACGTCATATATCTGTCATGTGAATTTATATTTTAATATAACTCACATTCTGTATATACATTTTTTACTCACATTCTGTTTATTTGTTCTTCTAATAAACCTATATAAAAGCAGACATGTTAAAAATATGTTCTATTGATAAATATTATTCTAAGTCAGGTTAAGCAATAAGTTACGATTAATTAATGTTGTCGTAACTATATAATTAAATTAAGAATACGCGTCAAATACAATATTAACTACGTATACTAAATAATAAGATATATTGTAGAAATTATGTAAAAGAAATTAAATACGGAAAATATATAAATAAGCATTTAAGAAAATTGCGCTTTGTTTATATAGAGCGATTTTATAAGAAAGATAATTGAAGAAGATTAATTTTACATCGTTCACAGAATAAATGTCTGTGTGGATTATGTGAGATAAACGATTGTTTGATCGATAGCTGCATGTTCAACGTCGAGGTTAACAAATTTCTCAATACAAGAGTTCAAAACAGAGAAGGTATTTATTCTATATGTGTAAAACAAGATGTTCGAAGTTTTAATTATTTTTTGCAATCAGGGATAAAAGATTATGCCACCAAAACGAAAGAAAAATGGCAAAAAAATATCCATCGAACCGCCACCAACGTAAGTTTAGAATTAGTGGATGCTTTAAACATAAATTATGGTGTGTTTATATAAATCTGAGCTATATGTGTTCACGAAGAACTTGATAGTGAGTCATATTTTCAATTCACAACGTATGAAAATAATTTTATAAATTTATATGATGTTTTCAACATTAATGCTCCTATTTATCTTTTAATACATTTTATTGCAGTGGTGCCGTTTTGCAGAATTATTTGTTTTATAATATCTTTTATCTCAAAATCTCCGTACTTAATTTAAATGTATCAATATGTATCTATCACGATACTTATTTAAATGTATCTATATGTATCTATCACGATATTTTATAATTAAATAAATCCATTATATTGTACTTTTATAATTGAGTAAATTTATATTATTAGGCATTTGATTGATATTTGCTTAATTTAAACAAATCTACGTATCTATATTTTCAACGATCTGTGATCATAATTTTTCTGTGAACAAAGACTCGAGCCGGATATTCTGGAAGTGCTAGAACCGGAAGAATCACCGAAACCACTGATATCAGCTGTCACTGGACAACCATTCGGCCCTCGAGTTCGTTATATCAGCGAAAAACAGGAGGAAGAAAGTTCGGATGACGAACCAGAGTCAGAAAGCGATGATGAAGAAAGATACCTGCAAGATGAAGCTCCGGAGGTGCCATCGGAATTTTGGCACATACAGAAACTTATCAGATTCATGAAAGCGGGTAATCAAACCGCAACTATGGTGGCTGTTTGTCTTTTAAAAGACTACGACCTGACCAATAGGGTAATTTCTTCTTGTTTCTTACGCCACACAAAATTATAACTTTAACTTTTAAGCTTAGAATTTCTAAAGCTTGACGTTTTTAATAATTCGTAGACCGTGAGAAATAGAGAGAAAATTTTTTTTTCAGTATTTTATATATCCGTAATGAAAGTTAATAAAATACAATTTCCATTTTTTTGCAATAACAGATTATACAAAAGGCGATTCGGGAAATGGGAGGTCTAGAGATTCTGGTGAATCTATTGGAAACGAAAGATTTAAAATGTCAAAGTGGCTCGTTGTCGGTTTTACTTCCGATCGTGACATCCACAGAGATGAGACGGTACCTAATCGACCTTGGTATTGTAACACCGTTGATTGAAATGTTAAAGTATCCAGCTAGAGATATTCAAGTTAGCTATTTGTCAATATAAATATAATTTTTAAAAAAACCGTTAAATATAAAACTAAGAATTCCACCTGTGTGAAGGTTTTAGCTGCAGAAACTATGGCTGTTATAGCACGAATTAGAAAAGCGAGGAAACAAATACGAGTTCGAGGCGGTATACCTCTCATTGTAAGTTCCTTCATTCTTTTAAAAAGCGTTTCATCGATGATTCAGAATTCTTAGTTTCATGTCATAAGAAATTTGTAACGTTTAATAGTTAGACGTAATGGACGTACCAGATTCTATTCTCCGAACATCGCACAACGAGCTGAACGAAACTAAC